GATACCGTGGAAGCCACACAAGAGCAGTATATACGCAGAGTGTAGCGCCAAAAAAAGATGCGAATTATGTCACCTAGTATACTTGACACTGCACAGCAAAATACTGGTTTCATTTCCGCCGTCGAGCATTCCTTGCCTGCGATCGGGCTCGCTTATACTCCTGATGAAGCGACTGGTTGGCTCTATCCTTCAACCAGCGGGCGTGTAATCTGTTTTTTGTCTTTACCAGCTGGAACAGCTCTCTATCTGACCAGGGAGGGAGAGAAGCCTTCGTTGCCTTTGTCGATGCCAGAGGTGCATGGCAATTGAGGACCATGAACGCAGAGTACCATTTTGTCCCACATCTTGTTGACATCGTAATGGTTCTCAAACTCATGAAGTCGAGCGGCAGCCAAGTCCTGACGAAGCGACTCCATGTCCACTTTGTGAAGCTTCCGACTTAGGCGCTGGGACTGTGGTGGTGGGCTCTCAACCTGAAGCTGAAGACAGGCTTCCACTGCGAAATGGTCACTGATGCCGGATGGTCTGAGGAACAATAGTTGCTGCCGTCGACACATCAGTACGTGCCAGGATCAGGTCCAGTACTGTGCCTACTGGGTACCCAGGCGTTACTCGAGTTGGTTCATTGACCAAGTTGCGGAGACCGTAAGAGCGACATACTGACATATACTATGCTAAGAAACCCATTCTGATTCATTAGAGACATCGGCTTGTAGCCGGTATCATAATTACATGCTTGTCTGTTTGGCCTGCCTGCCTGTCTCTCTCCCTGTTTCTTTGACAACCTGCTTGCTAATTTGTGCGCGTGTTTTCAGGCGTAAAACCCTGGTGTAGAGGTCTCAGCCCTCATTTGTTAGACTTTATAAGTGTAACTCAGTTACTCTCTCTCTCTCTCTCTATTTCTCTCTCTCTTTCTCTCTCTCTCTTTCTCTCTCTCTCTCTCTCTCTCTCTCTCTCTCTCTCTCTCTCTCTCTCTCTCTCTCTGTTTTGGTGCACAAAAACTTCTCTGGCGTTGATTGCTTTCTTGTTTTTGGCTTCTGCCGCGCCTTTGTTCTCGTACTCCCCCTCTATGTACTAGTGTTGTGCAAACCCTCCTTCTAGTCTGTCTCATTCTGCCCCGAGATGTTTTGATGCATAGTGAATATGACGCTCATCATTCGCTTCCTTGTCACTGGACAGTTCTGTCCGTTTGGTTTTAGCGAACTCAAATAAAGAAAACAACAACATCATTCCGACTGAAGGCACTCAGCCATGATCATTTGTGAGGACAAAGAAGACCCCGGTCAGCCAGGTGGTTCCTGGTCGCTTCGGAATGCCCTCTGCCTCTCTTCTCATCACGATGAAACGTCTGTAGTCTTTTGGGTGTGGTGTATCAGCGTGGTGGACCTCGAGCTCGGCCCCCTACTATAATTATTTTGATTGTCAGAGGACATTTTCAATATAATTATTATATTGAAAATGTCCTCTGACAATCAAAAGAATTATTAAAATATCAAATCTTTTAACTGTCTGCACGCCTCTACACTGTAGCTCTTGCAAGACTCGACTTGCAGTAGTATTGGCCATGTAAATAGGCAGCTGGATATTGTCCCGGCTTTGGTCTCACTGACCTTGGAATAACCTTCCACGGTGCTGATCAGTGATCACGAACAGCATGAGATACAGTCATGTACCCTGTATCCTACAACAGTACTAGTCTCTCCCCCCCCCCCCCCCCCCCCCTCCTAGTGGCTACATGTAGATGAAGTAACTACAAGGACAGTGATTGTCTTCAGTGAGGGGTTCTATTTTAGCCGTCAGTTACGCATGCATGTTCACTCACGAACTTTATGCATTATGAAGAGTAAAATAAGCTCCCAGGAGCGAACGGTTAATATACTCTTGGTATGTGATTCACAGAAAGTACAAACCGGTGTGTTGTGCGTATCTGTGAAGGTCGTGAGCTGTAACGCCGGCGCCAGTTGCTCGCCATCGAACCCTGTAATCTGGATGTACAGGTACCGACTCACCGGGAAATGCCCAAGTAAAGACGTAACTGTCACTTTCCTAATCTTTAGCTTTATCCTCACGATTGACATACAGGTAGCCAGTAAGAGAGCTAAAATAAATAGCAAGCAGGTTGTAGAGGGCAGGACGTTACCTTGCGCTGCCAACCTGCTCTACATGTCCACTTCCCGCTGCGCTATGCCTTACCACGCCAAATCCCTGAGCCAGACTAGAGAGCAAACTAACGTTACTTTAGGCTTTTGATGCACCGCGTTCACAAGAAAGTCATAAAAGTGCTTCTCCTAATACTTACAGCAACACGCTGACCTCACAGATGATGCAGAAAATCTACCAGCGCAGATACTAGGCGCCTGTTCTTATGTCAATAGTAGACAATAGGAGACATGTAGCTGTCAACATGACGTGTCCTCGCCATTCACTAGCTGGTGTCTATCATACGTACCAGGTACAGTCTTGGCGATCCTCCTGTCAAAGGAGGGGATCTGGGTCCATCTTGAATCGGATCTAGACTGAACCCCGGGCTGTCACACTGGAACATTGGTGAGAGCAGCTGCAAGGTGTGGACGGATAACAACTCTTTACATTACCATGTGATACCCAGTTCTTCATTGTCACGCGGTGGCACTAGCTATCATGGCGGAGAGGTATAGACAACACTGTCGCAGACATTATCTACATTGTCAATACGAGCACCAGCACACGCAGTTGTCGTGTATCGCCGCTTGTTCTCGCTCACGCACGGATAGACTTGTTGAGTGTGTCAGACTGTCATTCATCTATTGTTCACCTACCTGTACCTCAAGTCGTATTACCCTGAACACCCGTGTAAGGGATCAGCCACAAACATCAAAAAAACATATACACACTGTAAAAAAAAGCTACAAACACCATTGGCATTGAATATAGAAATTGTGTTCGTCTGCCACTAACAGGGGTGTGACACGGTGATCGTGCATCATGTAGACACGGTGATCGTGCATCATGTGACACGGTGATCGTGCATCATGTAGACAGCTAGTTACTAACTGTACAAGTACATGATGTACATGATGTACATAAAAACTTCACACATACATGTAGCTCATCAAAAAGAAAACATTGAAATTCTCTGGAAACGGAGACCCAGCCTGCAACAGCGCTCTCTGTCGGCACGTAAATGACCTTGCGTAATTCCCACACTGTGTATTTCCAAGGCGGGTACGATCCCCTAGTGATAATCGTGCCGGTGGTGCATGACCAGTTCGCTACGTTCTTGACACTTGCTCCCTCCCTCTGTTGGGTCTGTATGTGTGTGTATCTCTGTCTCTGTCTCTGTCACTGACTCTGCCTCTCTATCTCTCTGTGTGTCTTTGTGTGTGTGTGTGTGTGTGTGTGTGTGTGTGTGTGTGTGTGTGTGTGTGTGTGTGTGTGTGTGTGTGTGTGTGTGTGTGTGTGTGTGTGTGTGTGTGTGTGTGTGTGTGTGTGTGTGTGTGTGTGTGTGTGTGTGTGTGTGTGCAATCGATAGGTTGCGGGTTCGATTCCCGACGATTATGGTCACACACGTCTTTCTTCTCTTTCTCAGACTCTTCCTGACTTTTCTTTCATTCTCTTGGGTGGTTACCAACAGCCAGTGCATGCCGGAGTACGTGGTGTGATGGTGTGTGCGGGAAAAGAAATGAAAAGACCAAAAATAGGGATTCACTGGCCAGAAAAAGGCACTTCAAATAGCTGTATGGTGTAGACCAGGCTGAATAGTGACGGTCAATTATTCAGCCTTGCAAGCTGTTGAATGGTCCAACCCCAGCACAAGTTGCTATGGCTTCTGCCGTAGCATTGCTATCATCGCCTCCGGCGATGGGCGTCAAAAGGTCAAAAGGTGTATGTGTGTGTTGTGTGTGTGTCTTTCTGTGTGTGTGTCTTTCTGTGTGTGTGTGTGTGTGTGTGTGTGTGTGTGTGTGTGTGTGTGTGTGTGTGTTGTGTGTGTGTATATTATGTGTGTGTGTGTGTGTCTCTCTCTCTCTCCCTTTCTGTCTATCGGTCTGTCTGTCTCTGTCTCTCTCTCTTTCTGTCTCTTCGTCTCTCTCTCTCTCTCTCTCTCTCTCTCTCTCTCTCTCTCTCTCTCTCTCTCTCTCTCTCTCTCTCTCTCTCTCTCTCTCTCTATCTATCTATCTATCTATCTCACACATACACACACACACACACACACACACACACACACACACACACACACACACATACATGTGGCCCAGACGTGTTCTAAATGTTCTACCTGGGCTAATGATGAATGCAACGTCTTGTCTACAAGCCTTGCCTTCCATAGGATGTTAGTTAGATCTACTAGCACTAACTGGAGTCGTGGGCTTGTTGTAGCGCGGAACTAATAGTAATACTTGACATTGGCACAAAAGCCATAATGCTGATGTCCCTATTGCGTGTCAATATTTCAAATCATTGTACATGTCCATAAGCGGGCACGAGCCTCCAACTAATAGGTACTTAATTCGGGGGATCGGGACGCGTGAAGCGGCAGCGCACGTACGTCCGGTGCGGTCGTGTTTGCCGAATGCATGAGACTTCGTGAACGATGGGCGTCGATATTTACACCCATGTCTACAGCACGTGCCTAGCTCTTTTGCCATCATTTTGTTACTACTACTAGTAAGTAGATCTAGTACTACTAGTACTATCTTACTGAGTCACTCAGTCAGGGCATGTCAGCAAGCACCTACCGCGTATAATGCAACTGCCATAGCGACGTGCAAATCCATGCAGTGCGAGGATCCGGTCACGGCGTCATCCTTCCACTTCCAGGACACAAGGCGGGGAGACTGTTCTCTGTCGCCTAGATCGAACCACTACTGGCAGTACTGCACTAGTGCACTGGCGTCGTAAAATATCATTGTTATTTTACTACTCTCTGCCTAGAACTAGCCTACTTGTATCTGCGCTCCTTTTGTCGGTACCGCCATTGCACGAATTTCTTCAGAAAATCGGAGAGTCGACGAATACCTGTTCGCACCTAGACCTAGTACTAGTAGGTGTGGTTGATTTCTTCGCGTCTCCGAATGCAGCTCCACATAATCAACTACCACATAATCTTCCCTGCAAATCAGTCGAAGCTGGTCAGATACTGCGCACCTATGCCAACTAACTAATTACATTACTGTACTTCTACTGTGGAAATAAATTGTCGACTACAGCTAAGCCTAAGGATGAGTAAGGTCAGTACTTGTGGGTTGGTCATGACTGTGTGTGCTTGGACCGGTGCTCGGGAACCTGGCTTTAGACTTTACTAAAGTTTAGGGGATCAGCCGAGAAAAACACCCTGGCAGCGGATGTTTCGTATCAAACCGAGCACACGTAGATCTACCTGGCTGGAAGACACGAAGATCTCCGTCGTCGCCCGGACTGGTCGTGACTTCACCACCGATGTGTCCTATAATTATCAGTCACGGGACAGGTCGGGAGCGTGTGCTTGAGCAGACAACCACTACGTGCGGGAGAGCGTTTTCCGAGACACAATTCTACGGAAGTGGGCTGAAGATTGTGGTGACGTCTTACAATATCCGATGGCGGCGATGTGCAGCATCAAACAGACCGCACCATTCTCATCGCGCTTTCCAACATCCAAGCGCCACTTCGCCGTCGGGCTGCCTGCCGCACAAGTAGGTTTTTGGGTCAGCCCTCCAGGGCCACATCGAAGCAACTTAAAAGGGAGGAAAGCTCTTAGCTCATCAGTAGAGCAGTTTGACCATTTCCTAGCAACTTCCAGTTCTCAATCAACCCGATCATTGCTAAGTGGAGCACTCTGGGCACGGAAGGTGAGCAGTTGCATCACAGTTTTTAAACAGTTTCTCGAGTAGGCCATGTTATTAAATTTTTACTTCCATAGTTTGTATTCTGGATAATCCCTTACTGGCCATTGGGGAACTGCGGCAGTCATACTGTTGCAATCAGTACGGGTGGCATATACTGTAAAAGCTGTATACACTCACTCAATTCATACCTCGGTTATCCGGACCCCGAAGTCTCGGGCACTTCGGTCTACCGGGCACCCTTTTGGGCGAGTTTTAGTCGAAATATTACTCCTCTTTTATTCACTTTTTGTGGAAATAGTGACATCATATGCCATAGCTGTGGCCTCTCCCCATCAAAATGTATGTGATTCGGATTTACGGACATTTCGGACATTTCAAAGTTACGTTATCCAGAAATCGATCCTGTCTATACTGTTGCTGTTGAGCGTTGAGAATGAATGAGAATTGTTACCTTCGCTACACAAAATCGGTCAATGTTAGGAAATCGTGATATTTGCAACTCGATGGAATAGTGTCTCAGTACTGGGCAGTGATCCCCTGGCATTCATCCAGTGATCCCCTGACATTCATCCAGTGATCCCCTGACATTCATCCAGTGATCCCCTGACATTCATCCAGTGATCCCCTGACATTCATCCCGTGATCCCCTGGCATTCATCCAGTGATTCCCTGACATTCATCCCGTGATCCCCTGACATTCATCCCGTGATCCCCTGGCATTCATCCAGTGATCCCCTGGCATTCATCCAGTGATCCCCTGGCGCTCATGTATTGGTACAGGCAAACCTCGCTCAGCTTTACAGCATACATGTAAGGCATCCAACATAACCGGTGTCCGGTCATCCGGTTCCCTCGCCTATCTGGATATTTTTGTGGGAAATGGACGTGTGCGGTTAAGCAAGGTCTCACTGTATTTTAAAGTTGTGCGTTTGTTATGTTGTTACATTCAGGTTGGCAGGATGGAGGCGAATGCTGCTCGCGTTGTCTTTGTTTGCTTGCTACTTGCCCTGCTGACGCCAGAAGGGAACAGTCAGGACGTTACGACAGGCCCACCCGTCCAGCGTGATCCCAACCTGCTTGGCGAGGGTAAGTCCAAGCAACGGCGAGCCTTGCTTCTTCTTTTCATGCTCGCTGTGCCTAAAATCAGTAGTCGTGGTCATTCTT